TTTTTTTGGCAGGTTAATTTTTCAGAAGGAGGACCCGGTTCCAATTCTACTGGAAGTGAAGTAGCATCAATGTCCTCTCAGCTGCCAGACACGCCCAACAGCATGGTGGCCAGTCCTATTGAGGCATGAGGAACATTCGTTCAGATTTCCGTTGTTGTTTCTGCCCTTACCCTCACCCCTGTTGGAGAGAGTGGGAAAATGATCGTGTTTGGACTCCGAAATTTAGGGGGAAAAAGTATTTAACAACCTGTAATGAACCTAGCAAGGAATTGCTCCATGAAATGAACGGAGTCATGTTTGAAAAGACAAGGTAATATGGTAGCAACACTGTGAAGACAATCATGGGATCTTACTAGAATAAACACACACAAAAAACCACAAAACAAAAAACAAAAAACCACACAAAAAAAACCCCAAAAAACACACAAAAAACAACAAAAAAAACAACAAAAAACCGAACGCTGCGCTATTCAATGATAAGAGGAGGACTGAAAAGACGTTTTCAAAACGTGAAGAATTTGTACTCGTGGATCTCAAAAAAAAAGTGAAAAAAGATTATCTTTTTATTTGACTGCACATCTTAGGGAGAAACCAAGGTAGAGGGACTTGCTACCCAGTCCCTCCCAATCCGAATGGTGCTGTTTCTATATTGGTGATTGCCTTGCCAAAAGGAGCTCCAGAAGGTTTTCCATCATCAGGAAAGAGACGATTTAGCCCTGCATTGTTGAAAGATTCATTGCAGGAAGGTGGAGCTGCATTGGTTTGCAATGTTGTTTTTAGTTGACTCTTAACAAGGGGTTGTTTCCTGGGTCTCTTCTAGCATGTACTGTAACGGGGTTTTGGTTTTGTTTGGTTGAGATCCACCCTCTATCAAGTCTAAAGCGATTAAAAATAGGTTTTTGAATTCCTCTTTAAAAACCAATTCAAAAAAGCATTGCAACAAGGTATACCTCTATTTTGCCACAAAGCGTCTCGGGATTGTGTTTGAAACGTGTTCGTCCAAGAACCTTCCCCTCCCCCAAAGATGTGTATAGTCATTGGTTAAAACGACTGTTTTTCTCTCTCTTTCTCTTTCTCTCTCACTCTCTAGAAATAAATAGGAAAAAAGTTTTAAAAAAAAAGGAAAAAGAAAAAGAAAAAGAAAAAAAAGAAAAAGAAAAAAAAAAGAAAAAAAAAGAACCCACCCTTTTTGTTTGCTCTTGCATTGCAAAATTATAAAGTAATTTATTATTTATTATCGGAAGACTTGCCACTTTTCATGTCATTTGACTATTTTTTTGTTTGCTGAAGAAAAAGAAAAAAAGAAAAAAAAAGAAAAAAGAAAAAAAGAAAAAGTTGTAACGTGGTCTTTGAATTATATGTCTAATTCTATGTGGTTTTGGTCTTTTTTTTTCTTAAATATTATGTGAAATGAAAGCGCCATATGTAGAATTATTATATCTTCAATAATAATAATAATAGTATTAAATAATGAACAAAGTTCCCTCTTTTAAATATTTACAAGTTAGCAGCTAAAATACCTGAAATAAAATATTGCATGCAAAGCAGGTCGCTAGTGAATAAAAAGGAGTGTGATATTTTATTGCAAGTATTAACGACCAGCTTGTAAATTTCCGTTTCAACAACTATATCAGGGCTAGTTGGATGCCTTAGCTTTCAATCGATAACGTTAGAAACTCTCTTGTTCCCCCCCCCCCATCCCTTGCCCTTAAAAGTGATATTACTCTAGGCATGATCTGACGTAACGTTAAGACATCTAAAGAACTGAGAGCTCAGGCTTTTTGCTGAGTTCTATTATTTTTTAAAAATAATAATAAGAAGTGCTGTATACCAAAGCCTCGTTGTTGAGATTGTTGAAGTGACCTGTACTTTAAGTATAAGCTCCTGATAAAAGGGACGCTTTTTGCTTAACGAGTCAAGTATGACCATTATTTATCAGTGTCTGCTGTTAAAACTATTAAATAATGCTGCAGGAGAATAAATTGAGGGGATATTGCTGTGAAATTGCACGAATACTGTTCCTTACTTTCTGTCGACTTCCCTCCCTTCACTCCCTCTTTCCTTCCTTTTTTAATTTGTGGGGAGAGGGTGGTGAAAGCTAGAAATGTGGGCGATTTCTTGGGGAAAAGTAGAAAAAAAAAACAACCACACACACACACACAAAAAACATAGGGAAGGGTTGTTTTTGCTCCAGTCCAAGTGCTCCCTAGTGCTCCCGGCCAGCACAAGACAAAGGCTCCCTTTAAAAAACCCTTAACGACTGGAATATAGAGAGATTTTTAGTCTGACAAAGACAAGTTGGTTTGCATGACAGTTACTCCAAACCCTAATGTTTTCTTAACATAACCTTCTTTTTCCTCTCTCCTCACCATCTCAGCCCACACTGAGCAAGCTCAGCTATAGGGATAAACCATTTCGACAGTACAGAGAACATTAAAAAAAAAAAGATTAAAAGTCTAATACAAGGATTTCAATCATCCTGATGAAAAACTGGATCCATTTTGTATGCTCAAGTGTAATACATTTTTGAGTACTTGATAAATATTTAAATAAATATGAAATCTACCTTAAACTGTGTGACCTGTAACTCTTGTGTTTTCATGCAGGATCAGAGGCTTGGTACGACGCTTCGGGGGGCGGGAGGGCGAAAGGGTGTAATTTCTGCCCGGTGGTCCAACGTGTAAGTTGTTTGAGTCGCTGTTACTGACGGGAGTAGAGGGGGAACGGGGAGTTTGGTGGCTGAGTCTCTGACTCCGGGCGGAGGGTCTTTACTTGGCGCTGAAAACCTGTAAGGTCAGGGCAACACGGCGGCCTTTGCGCTCGCCTTTAACCGCCTGGAGGCTAACGCGTAGGTGGGAAGCGCGGTCATTTCGCGGGGAGAGGCGCAAGGTTACGCTGGGGCAGGAGTGACCCA